ACGCCGCCAGACAGCCGTCCGCCCTCCCAGCCATGGCCCCGCCATCCGTCCGTCCGTCTGTCCTTCCAGTCCTCCATCCATCACTCCCTGCCCGCCTGCCTTGCAGCCCGCCAGCTGCCTCCTGGGGCTTCCCAGGAAGGAGAGCCCGATTGTCACTTGTCCCACAGCTGGGGTGGACACTGAGGACTTGATGAAAGGCCCCAGAGCCAGGCAAGGAAGGGAGAGGGCAATCCAAATAAGAGCAGCCTCTCCAGGCTCACGCTGGATCCCCACCGTGGCAGGGCCGAGGCACAGTAGTACATTACACCCTCGCCCCCGAGCTCCCCGCGCACAGGCCTCCCAGCTTGGCGAGCCTGCACACCAACAAACCTGCCCCCAACACTGCTAATCTAGACGACCACCAGGCCAAAGAGGTGCCAGGGAGCACAGCCCTTTCCAGGGCAGGAGACTGTTGTAAGGAAGCTGTCACCGCCCCCGATCCAAGTCTGCCCCTTTGAGAAGGGCGAAGGACAAAGACATACACAACGTCCATACTGTTCCCCAGTCACAGCCACGCGTTCCCTCATTGCTCTGCGGCGCTTTTGGCAGTTGGAGGATATAGCTGCAGAACCGGAAGGTATTCCTACTGCATCAGAAAGACCAGTGCCCATGGCGGTCACAAGCTTTCACGGAGAAGCCCATCAAGCTATTTCATACTTATTTAAATTAACACCAGTGTGCTAAAGATTTGAGCGCCGCCCTTTGCCTCTCAGACTTCCTATGACCATTTCCATCGTCTTCACTTTGAATCCCTCAGTCTCAGGTCAAAGATGCTAGACTAAAGTTTCTTATTGCAGCTGATTTATCCACATGATTAAGTGGAACAGAATTTGGCGGGTTAAAGCATATGGAGTTTTTCTGCTGCTGTTGTGCATAAGGAAATACTCAAAACAATCATAGGTCTGTGATTTCCCACTCAGAACAGAGCCAGATGTATTTTAATTATAGGAAAACCTTTGCTGAGCCAGCTTCATGGTACATTCACAACCATTCTTCACTTGTTAGCCTCACTCTGTAAAATGAACAAGTCGGTTACTTGAGGTATGTATAAAATGTGTTCACTCCTGGAAAATGTATAGATTTGGGAGTTACTTTAGCCATATGTTAGGCAGGATTCTCCAGTTCCTACATGCTGAAATTTGCTCTCATTTCTTACCCCAGGAAGAATTTTACCTGAGTAAGAACCATAGGGCAGAACCAAATATTTGTCTGTTGATACTCACTCTTTTTCTACTGATTTTTTTTTCTGTCTTTTCAAGAAGGACGCCCTGGAGACCTGGCACAGTTCCTTAACTGAAATATTTTGATGGAAAATGTGGGTTTTTTCCAGGAAATGAAATTTTCAGTGAGGAATATCTGTTTTCAATAACGGAGTTTCTCAAAAAAAAAAAAAAAAACCAAACCAAAACCCACCAAACCAAAAAACAGAGCATGAAGCATTTTTCAGTTTTTAGTAAATGACAAAAGAATTAATCGCCATCTGAAATAAAGATTTTCAGTCACCTCAAAAAAACTCCAAAACAAACAAACGAAACAACCACTTGGGAAAACAAACCAGACACACAAATCATTTCCCTATTGCAGGTAGGTTCAAGTCTTACAAATAAAAGGCTGCAGGCCCAACAAACCCATACCAAGTCTGTGTATAGCTATGGATCAGTGAAGAGAAACCCTGCTCAGCCCCTCAGTTTCAACTTCCGAATTGCACAACTGAAAACATACTACCATGGTCCAGGCTTGCTTCCAGAATCCTGCAGAATATGTGTACATGGAGCCCGGTGGAAGTGATATGGCTCACTCTTTGCAGGACAAAATCCTTAGCTACCTATGGTAGTAAGTATGTGCAGCATAAACCAGATAGGAACCACCTATCTCTACCTGAGAAAATAAATTGGCCCAGAAGATTTTAAGGGGGGACACTTTATTCTTTAAAGGACCATTTAAGTTGCACAACTATTCTTTCATTTGCTGCACCACTGATATGAACAAGAACTATTCCAGTAGATGTTAGCTGTGAGAGTGCTTCTAAGATGTAGGACTTGTTTTCTAGGTGTTGGACTGTGGCCATTGACCTATTTCACGAAGAACGGGAGAGAGCCTTCAGAATACCCTTCACCTAGCAAGCTAGAAGGAACAAGTGCTTTCGGGCAATAAAGGCTCTATTCTGCAGTGGCAGTACATTGAGCTCTTCATCCTAAATACATAGATACCAAATTACATTTTTATTTACATGATAATCTTATCTAAAGACCGTGAGGTACCGATCCACCTACACAGTACCGTTTCTAAAACAAAACCCCAGATACACTCTAGGGTGTCTAATTGGCTCTGTCTCGCAAAGTGTACCTATTCACAACTTATTTATACATAGAGGCAGTTTCCTTCAAGTGCTGCATACTGCGGACTCACCAACTGTTTAGAATTAGACCTCGAAGTTCAACCACAGAAGGAATTGTCTCCCTCTGAGACTGAGGGGCCACTGCTGCTAGCACAGGCTGGAGACAGGCACGTGCATTTCCAGAGCCAGTGTCTTCCCTCTCACCAGTAGTTCTTCATGTATACACAGTAGTTGAATTGATCACCAACAGCCATTCCCCCCTTGCCCTTTGAGTTACATTTTTCCTTTGTATCCTTCCTGTATGCTTCTTCCCTTTCCTTTTAAATCATTTATGTCTCCCCTCTCTATCTCAAAAATATGCCCTCGTGATTCTCTGGCTTTACTAATTAATTTAAAAGTCAGCAGGAGTCGAACTCCAAACTCATGAGGAACCTAACTTCAACTAAAGTTTAAAAGCAAAGCAACTCTTATATTCCAGTCCCTTAAGACAGCTAAAGCTCAGTGAGAAAAATGGTCTTTTTGTTTTTCCATTTCGTGTTTTATGAAAATATTGTGGATTGTAATCCCATTGCATTGTGGAATACAAATCCCCACTTAGACTGATAAGGCAACGGAGTGAGATGTAACTTAAATGGCAACAAATTTCACATGGCTTATGTACTATTTACCCAATTAATTATGCATATAATAATAAGGATATAGAAGTCAGTAGAGCTGAGTTTCTATTTTACAAGCTGAGATCATATCAGTTAGCTCAATGCTATTAGATTCATTTGCATGCTGAACTTGTCGGAGGAAAGGGAAGAAAAAGATAAGGAAGAAAATACGGGAAGAGGCTTAAAGGAAAGGAAAACAGAGGTGGGATGTAAAAGCCGCAAAGAATATAGCACTGTTATAATAAAAAAAAATTAAGAGGGGACAGAATGTGAATTAGGATCAGTTTACTGCATGTCTTGGATCACTCGAAGGACAGAAATAATATCGCTATGGCAGATATGACTCAAATCTCTAGTGTTATAAAGTGAGGGTTGCTCCACTGAGATCAGAAAGCTATACTGATTTATATTAGCTGAGAATATTGCCCATGGACTTTAACCCTCTTCATAGATCCTTATCCTAGCACAGCAGCGATAGGAGATGTTTATCAGGTCATGCTGAAATAACCCAGACTAAAAGGCAGTTTTACTTTTCTTTCAATCTCCTTCTGTATGTAATTTCCCCATTAATGTTATGGAAAACAGTTTGATTTTCAAAACACCCCCCTCAGCATTTTTTCCCCTTGGCATTTATTTTATTCACCTGAATCCCCTAAGGCTGATCCTTCCCTGCAGATGGACTTAATTAATCTTTCCAACAGTGCCCCTAAGACAAAAGAAAGTAATATATGTACAGATGGGACCAGGGCACTCCATCATCCATCCAAATAAGTGACCAGTAATGTGACCAAAACTATCCCCTTGAGGTTATTGACTGACCACTGTGAAGTCACACAAGGCTCAGTGTAAACAATAAATTTTATTTACTAAGGCGGTACCCTAGAAAAAAAAGATTGGTTTAAGGGAGAATATAATAAATTATTTCTGACATGAATAAATTATACAACTGGAAGGCAAATTGCCATCGTAAATTTATCTGCCAAATTAATTTACAATGGGCCTCTAGCATGACAGTAGGTGAAATGTAATACAAACGTATGCAGAGTAAACAGCATTTCTGCAGTGTTGCTTTGTATCTTCTACTGCACTCTTATTAAGTTGAAAGAATACCCACTATTCCCAAGTTAAAATGCCAGAGGGATTTCCAGTCCCAAGTTATCCTTTTGGTTTCGAGACCTAACTAATAGGAAAGTAAATGGATTCTTGCATTGTTAGAGATGGACAGTAAAGTGTTGGCCAGTTTTATGTTCATTAAGGAAAAGAAATATTATCATCTTAATTCCTTCCCTATAATATTCCCTTTGAAGGAGAACTAATTGATCCATGTTCTCTTCCACAGTCAGGCGTTAAGCTGGCCACCTGCTCTTTCTATCTTCTTTTCTGAACTGCTACAAGAATACAATAAAATTGAGAATTGTTTTCTTAACCATAGTAAAATCTGCTACTCTTACTCTGAAAACAAAAGGAGTTTCATTGTCTTTTCACTTGGGCACTAATTCTGCGGACTGCTGAGCAACTTGATCCCGATCCAGCAATGCATAGTAGCAATGCTAGTAACATAACTATGAACTGTGTTTTAGAGGTGCTCATGGGTGTGTTTTCCTGGGCCGGTACCAGAATAAACCCACAAATATCAGTGGAGAAGAAAATCAAGATCACTCAGTCTCAGACTAATATTCTGTCTGTAATATAAATTAGTTTAGATCACTGCTTTGGAAAACCACTTACAAACCGCTAAATAGTTGTGCAGAAGGGTCACACTGAATAACCAACATCCAATAAAAATTTTTTGTAGCTGGACCTTTTAACCTACACGCACAGAATTTGAGCACTGACTGAGTGTTAGGAACATAAGTGACATTACCTTCTGTCCAAACTGTCCAGCTATCACCAGCTGCCTTGAACAGTTCCAGTCTCCCAAAAGTCAGATTCTGCATGTGGCTTGGCAGCTGAAAGGCCGTTGTCAATCCCCAAGCCCCTTTGGTTCAGATAAAGCAACATGACAGAAAGTAACGGTTTTGAAGGAACATTAACAATCTGCCAAGTTTAAAATACAGTCTTGTATGAACAGGAAAAAAATCTGTTCACATGATTAAACAGAGCTTTATGTTTTATCGGGTAAAATAATGTACTTCAGAAAGAAAAAAAGAATTTATTGAATTTCAGAATCCATGACAGTTGAGAATGGCCTGGGGGTGAAAGTCATCCTCTGTGAAGGGCTTTATGCATGTTTTAGTGGATTTTTTGTGGACCTGTGAATCAAGGATGGCTTTCTGAATGAAGAAGATCCTGGAGAATCCCAACAGATTTTTGACAAACCAGCAAATAAGATTCTAGCCTTCTTTTCTCTTTCCCCAGCTTATCCTTTACTGAAGGAAGCTAAATGAAATAGTCTATTCAGACTGATTCAACTAGTTTTGGGGATGCTTCCCTTCAGCCCAATACCTTCGCTTTGGACAAGATAATGAACAGCTCTTTAAGCAGTAAAGTCACTTGCACTTGCTCACAGGCAACCTAAGGCAAGGACTAGGCTAGGAGAGCAGAGGATCTGAGGCAGGAGCTTCCTGGGCTCCCGAGGTTGGGACACACCGGTATACATAAATCTCTAGAAAATAAA